TGGCGGCCGCGCTGGATTTCAAATACCACCACACCGAGGAGCTGGAGGCGTACCTGAAGGGGATCCACGCCGCGTACCCCTCCCTCACCCACTTGCACAGCATCGGGCGCTCGGTGGAAGGTAAAGGGCGGGTTGGGGGGGGGGGGCCAAGGCTTTTCTGGTTTATTTAACTGGGGACACGCGTGGGTAAAGGTGGCTGCCGTGGTGTTTCGTCCGCGCTTGCTGGCGGCGGAGCTGCTCTTAATTCGCAAACGCCGGGTGCTTCTCTGCTCAAATCTCTGCGAGGTTTCCTCTTCCTCTTGCTTAAGCTCTGATGACACACTTCAGCTGAGGTAGAAGTTCCCCCAACACCTATCTTGTTTTCAGAATTGGCAGCCTCCCGAGTGGCAATTTCAGTAACAGGGCTGTCTTCAAAGGGCTTAAAATGTGTGGCACCCCGTTTGCCAAGTGCCCGTTCGAGGTGGGGCTGTAATAGGAGTGTGTGTTTTCTGACTTGTGGGTATGTTAAAAATACCTGCTCTTCTGCCTTTACCTATTATTCCACTAAATCTGGACTGACTACGGATTTCAAATTCCATACTGATACAAGGTCTTGTGTTTTAAATGAAGAATGAGATTTCAGTCTCTAATCCCACAGGAAAATATACATCGATCAATAATCACCTTTCTGTCCGTGTACAGATATTTTAATTTATCTCTCCATGATCGGTACTTTTTTACAATAAATTTACAGAAAAAAGTTACTTTTTTATTTGTTTAAAGAGATAGAAAGTTTACTGTTTATTAGTATATAAATACTTTAATGTACATCTGTCTAGTCTTAAGCAAAAAAAACTTAGGGAGATTTCAATTCAGAAAATTAAATCGCTTTGATAGGAGGTACAAAACTAGATAGAGAGGTTCATTCTTCAGAAACAGTATCTGTTCCTCTAATCCTGTTTCATACCACTGGAAGGAGACAGTTGTATCATCTATTATCAAATCTGTGCTTGTGTTTAAGAAAAAAAAATCTACATCCTTCTGGGTAGATAATCATGAAGAATGCTAGTACTTTCTTTTCATATCTCCTTCCTTGTGTTACCATGCGTGTCTTCAAATTTTTTAAATATGCTTGTATTTGTCTGGGACATACCTTTTAGTTGAAAAGAGGGTTGTGTTTCAGGGAGATATCAAACAGCTGTCATGTTGCTATGGATGTGTGATCTTGTCTTTGTGCATATCTGCACTTTTTTTAAGAAAGTCTCGTTGTGGGAAGACAAACTAGACAAGGAATCTTAAAGTTATTTGTGTTCTTGGTTTCATCAAAGGCAGAATCGTATTGGAATATGTTATTCATCCATACAAGAGAAGGCTAGTCCATTTAAGTACAGTTCCCTCTGGTACAAACTACCAATTATCCACATCCTCATTTTCCTACCTTGAGGGGACTTCGCTAACATTTTAATGATAGGACTAGATTCTGACTTTTCTGGCATGAACTCTGCTGGCTTATCTTCGTGCAGGTAGGATAAAACCTTTCATCCAACCTGAGAGATTGAAATTTTGGCTTTTACATATCTAGATATCTGAAAGTTGATAATGTGAAGTGTTCAACTTGTCTGAGTTCCATCAGTATGCAAACTGGAAATGCATCATCTCTTGATTGTGAGTGAGCAGTGCTCTGAAACTTCATTCAGATTTTGGCATATTGCCTAATGCTTTGCCAAACTGTGGGAAAAGAGAATTACATGGGCTCTCCCTTGATCTGCCAGCTACACGTCATGATTCACAAGAAAGCAGTCACTTGCATTTTTTGCATGTCCATTTTTTGCCTGCAGTATTCCTCTGAATGGAACAGGTGGGCAGTGGAAACTTTCTCAGTGCCATATAAGGCAGAATGGCAGTGAAAAATAATCAGTACTGCTCTATTCTTTTCTTTTTTTCTAAATGGTAAGAGATTTCTACCTTTGTTAAGAAACGTGCCTTTAGAGTCCTCTGAAATATGGTAGAGGAAGGTACTGAATTAGGGTCTTTTTTTTTTTTGCTCATACTAAAAGATTTTTGTGACAATGTGGTTATATAATTTTTGTGAAAATGAAGTTTCAATTTTGGATAATGGGCTGAAGTTCTGTTCTTCTTAGTTAAGCTGACACAAACAAGAATGTATGTATGCTCATGCACATGTGCTTACTTGTGTGGGTTTACTAGTGTTGTCCCACTCCCAATTAGCAAAATGTACGTATTGATGATGAGAAACAGAAATTAATTTAAATCTTATAAAACTGAGATCAATGTGATGTACTAAGTTTTCTGTTAAGCTGTTGACATTCCTGATGTGGAAATTCTTGATGATGAATACAAAATCCTGTGAATCAAAGTGGTGGCTATAAAGCCACCAGACATAATGTTATCATGAATTGTTATTGTTCCCATGTTATTCTTAAACCTAATATAGGTTTTAATCTAATTTTTATCTAATAATCTAGTATTATATACTGACATCTAGACTTGGATTATGAAGAATGTGAAATAAAGGCTTGACTTTTGGTTGGCGTGTGTAGACCCAAAGCTCTGCGAGGGTATAGAATCCACTCATAGAAGCCCCAAATGTGGAGGGTGGTGGGGACCTGTGTATTACCACTCCAGGAAGTGATTGCACGTAGTTCTTTAACAGAAATATCTAAACACTCTTCATGTCAGAAGCATTTGGGTCTGGAGGCCACCTAGTTTGAGCTCCTGTTCAAAGCAAGGGTAACTTGAAAGTTAGATTACAATGCTCAGGGCCCTCTCCACCCAAGTTTTGAATATCTGTAAGGGTGGAGATTCTACAGGGTCTCTGGGCACCTGATTCAGTGCTCAACTACCTTTGTTGTGGAAATGTGTTTTCTTGCATCTGATTAGAGTTACTCTTGCTGTGAGTTGTTACCTGCCCTTTTTCTGTGCACCTCTAAGAAGGGTCTGGCTCTGTATTGTGATCATCTCAGCGACCTTCTGCTAGACTTCCTCGAGTGTGATGTTGTCCCTCTTGCGCTAGGGAACCCATAGCTGGACACAATACTCCAGATGAAGCTTTACTAATGCTGAGTGGAGGGGAATAATAGTTTTCTTCAAGCTGCTGGCTTATGTTCTTGCTGATGCAGCCGAGCACGCAGGTTGCCTTTTCTGCTGTGAGAGCACACTACTGACTCACACTTGTCTGCCTGGACATTCCTCCCACACCCTGCAACCCCTAGGTTGCAGAGCCACAACCTAGCCAGTCTGCGGCCTGTACAAGCGTGGGGTAATCTCTTGGGTTGATAATCCCAATATGGGGTTCTTCTATTCCAGGTGCAGGACTTTGCATTTGCCTTTGTCAGTTTTCATGAGTTTTCTGTTGACAAATTCATTCAGCTTGCCAAGGCCCCTCTGAATGGCAGCCCTGGCCCTGATGAAGATGTTCAACAGTATCGGCTTCAGTGTTGACCCTTGAGGAATGCTGCTAATAATTTGCCGTCACTTGAACCACCAATTGCTCAGCCCAACCAGCTTCTGACCTCATTATATTCTACTCCTCTAATCTCTATGTTCCCAGCTTGTTTACAAAGATACTGTGAGGGTGACTGAGCACTGGAACAGGCTGCTGAGGGAGGCTGGGGAGTCTCCATCCTTGCAGATATTCAAAAGCCATCTGGACACAGTCCTGGGCAACCTTCTGTAGGTGGCCCTGCTTGGGGGGGGGGGGACGACCCTCTGTGTGTGTGTTGGATTAGGTGACCTGCAGAGGTGCCTTCCAACTAATTCTGTGGTTCATTTGAAAGCCTTGCTAAGGTCAAGGCTGAAGAAACAGAGTACTTTCCTCTCTCCCACTAATCCAGTCATTTCTGCATAAAAAGTAAGCAGTCAGGTATGATTTGTCATGGATAAATTTGAGGCGACATTTACGGAGTGTGTTTATTCGATGTGTGTAGACTATAACAGCAATGTATACAACAGAACCAGTACCAAGAGCCTCACTGGAAAACAAACTAAAAGATGCCCAATCTGTTTGGTGGTGGTTTACATCACCATATGGAAATTCACTGCTCCTCTGCCAGATTACTGGGAAGAATGTGTTCTAGACTGGCAATGGCCTGTTCAGTCTCCAGGTCTGTACGTTTGGAAGCTATGATATTTAATTAGGCATCTCATCTGGTAAGCTATTATCCTTAAATGAGGGGGGAGAAGGGAGCTTAAAAAGATGTAGCCCATTGGCTGACAAAACTGAGTGTTAGCTGTTTGGTCTGATTTAGTAGGTAACCTCAAATACCTCAAGATTTGCAGGTGACTTGTATGTTTGTGAGAGACCTGATACGGTCTTATAAGCAGGTAGGCAGAGATGTATGATGGCCCAGAAAATACCTTGATTCTTCTATATTATTTCAGATGTGTTGTTGACTAAGCTCATAAAAGATCTTTGGCAGGAGCTCTGTTTTCTAATATGTATGATATCCAACCTCAGTACAATATGTGCACTCTATAATAATAGAGGAGGCTGTAGAGCTGCGTCAGTCTGGAGAATGGGACCTGGTGTAATCCTATTAATCTGTCCTGCCTAATGCCACCCCAGTGAAAAACAGTGACTCTTCAGCAAGCAAATCTTACAGTGTGCACTATCAAAAAGAAAATATTTTGTGTATGTCTATGATCTGTGGCTTTTCACTGTTCAAGATACTGTGCTGTTGTTATTTGAAAAGAAAATGAGGGTGGTGGGGTGCTGGGAAGGGATTCTAATAGATAGACCTGATGACCTTATTAGGAGAACAAAGGCAAGCAACTTTGAAAGAGCTGAGTGGCTTTTGTAGTAGATCCACACTCTTTAAAAACGCTTTTCAGACACACTCTGGATTCAGATACAGTGATAGCATGCCAATTACAGCTTGGTTTAGATCTAGCTTTTCTGGAGGCCAGTCTGCATTTTTAGAATTCCAGTCAAATTGGAACAGTTGCAAAGATCACCCTTAAGCCAGATCCCGCTCACCGAGCAAAATGTTTGTGTATGGTTAAAGTACCTCTGTCTTTACCTAGTGAGGAGCTTCAAAGTTGACTTAATAGACTAACATCTCTTTGGCAGATTCTATCATTGGAGAGACAAAAAGCAAAACAAAACAAGCTGACCAGACTTT